TAGGGATTGTAAGCACAAACAGACGTTGAAAGTTCATGTCGGTCTCGTTGATAGTGCTCATAATCAAGCTTTTGCAAAGCATACCAACTTGATGAATAAAAAACAGAGTATCTCCTACGTTATTTCTAGCCAAAGTAGTAGTCAAACAAAAAGTTATAGGATGAGATTGACTGCGGTGCTAGATTGTACTAGATTCCTCTTGACGCAATGATTGTCATTTTGTGGTCATGATGAATCGAAAGAGTCTCTTAATTGAGGAAATCTAATTGAGCTACTAAACTGGTATGGAGCTCGTTGTCAGAAAGTTAAAGAAGTACTATTTAGTAATACTCCTGGAAATGACCAAATGACTTCACCAAACATTCAAAAGGATTGGTTAATCGTTGTGCAGTAGAGACAACAATGACTATTATCAATGAGATATGTGATTCTTTGTTTTCAATTTTGATTGATGAGTTTCATGATAATTCTATAAAAGAACAAATGACAATTTTTTAGAGGTTTGTTGACAAAAGTGGGCAAGTGAATGAGCGTTTTTTTGGGCATTTTCCATGTCATTGATACTTGTGCTCAATCACTGAAGGATGCCATTGATACAATATTTTCTACACATGGATTGAACATATCTAGCCTGCGAGGTCAATGTTATGATGGAGGAAACAATATGTCAGGTGAGTTCAATGGCTTGAAATTTTTTAATTCTAAGAGGGAACTCATATGCTATGTATGTTCATTTTTTTGCTCACCAGCTTCAGTTGTCAGTTATTTATGTGGCACGTAGGAATTGTATGCTTGGTGATTTTTTCAACATGCTTGCTATTTTTGTGAATTTGGTTGGTGCATCATATAAGTATGTAGATGCTCTTCGATCAAGTTATCATTCTAATATTCCAGAGAAGCTTCATATTTGGGAACTTTCTAGTGGAAGTGGTCAATTTCAAGAAATGAGTTTGGCCCGCCCAGGTGATACTAGATGGGGCTCACATCTACCGACAATTACTCGTTTTTATCAATATGTTTAATGCTATCATAGATGTTCTTGGGAATATATCAGAAGATGGCGTAAATTCAAATGAAAAATCAATGTCCATAAGACATATGGACAATATGCAAGATTTNTATCATAGATGTTCTTGAGAATATATCAGAAGATGTCGTAAATTCAGATCAAAAATCAATGACCATAAGACAAATTGACACTATGCAAGATTTTGAATTTGTGTTTAGTCTCCACTTTATGTTTGAAATTCTTGCAATTACATACGACCTTTTACAAGCCTTTCAGAAAAAAGATCGGGATATTCAGAATGCTATGAGGTTATTAAATTTGTGTAAATATGCATTGCAGAACCTGAGAGACAATGGTTGGGATATTTTGTTGAGTAGAGTGATTTAGTTTTGTGTTGATAGATATATTTTAGTGTTCAATTTGGAGAATATTATAGTAGTGAAAGGTCAATCTAGGTGTGCAGCTCAGTAGGTGACTGTTATCATCGCTTTTATGTTGATTTTTATTGTCATGTGATAGACTCAATCTTGCAAGAGTTGAATGATCGTTTTTCCGAGACAACTACTGAGCTCCTAACTTGCATTTCATGTTTAAATCCAAGAGATTCCTTTGCAGCTTTTGATACGGATAAATTACTAAGGATTGCTCAGTTGTATCCTTTG